GCTTGCCTACCTAGCTGTATCTATCTGTTGAAACTAATTTATATCAGATATCAATATCTCAATGCTAATCTAATACCATAGGGTTTATTCTAGTATTTGTAACTCCCTTTTGTAACATTGAGAAACCTATTTCCCATTATCCTTAATCTGTTTTCTTATTTATTCAGCACCCCTGTGTGTAACCTATCTCCCATTACACCCCTTCCCCACACTTAGGCCCCCTCCCCACATGTAGGCTATGACGTACCATGTTGGCTCTTCCTGTGTATGAACACCCTCCTCACTCTTCAGGCTTGGCGTCCATCTGAGGTTGCAGGATGCCCTCCTTAGTGTACTTGGGTTGTGACTCCCCACACTGGATCACCCCCCTCCATGGATTACCTCCTCACCTTGCTTAGCTTCTGCCATCCTGTGACAGGCTGCTATTCCCTAGGGTCTTTCTTTGTTCCTGCTCAGACTCTGAGACCTCATGCTGTATTGCTTCTCCATGAGAACTCCTCATTGACCTGACTGGGTTTTAACACCTCCAGGCCAGGCTGTCACTCTGTGGACACTCACTTTATCTTGTTTGGGCCATGGCACGTCACCCCTGGCCATCCTTCTGCAGAGATGCTCTCTGTAACCCTGCAAGGGTTTTGAATTCCCCATGCTGTGCTATCTCTTGGACGGTATTCCTTCTTTTCCCTTCTGGGCCTCTAAAACCCATTTTGGGCCACCCTTCTGAATGGATGACCATTGCACCCTGCTTCTGTCTCTCAATGCCCCTTCCTGGGACTCCCTTTCTGACCTTGCCTCAGGACTGATAACCTGCTTTCCTTTTCCCACTTTGTAGACACCCTCCTCATTCTGCTCAGGCTCTGGTTTCTCAGGCCAGGCCAAGTGCCCTGCTGTGGTGATGCTCTCCTCAGTTTGCTTGGACTCATTCTCTCTGCCAAGCAGCTCTCTTTCATGAGGGTTTCCCATACCATGGTTTGGGCCACTGTGTTTCCCCCCACCTTGCTCTGCCCCACCTAATGGCTTTAGGACTGAATCGTCCAGGAAAGAAAGAGCAACGATGAGTTTTTCCTTTTTTAATCCTTATTAATTTGATGTTCTTGTTTTATTTTTATTTTCTAAGTTATTTTATCAATTATACATTAGATATTTTGTTCTGCATTCATCTTCAACAGTGTACATGTCTTGCTACATTATGTGTATCAGTATAGGTATTTTAAGTTAGTCCTCAGGGCTAAAAGTCCAGCATGTTATGCCACAATTTTACTGAGGGCTGTGGCTTTGTTGCTAATTGGTTTATTTGAATACCTTCAGTATTATTTTGCTATATTCTACTGGGCATATATTTGTCTGATCTTATTTCACATATGCTTTTATATTTGTTTATACTTTACAAGTTCTGATCTGCCACTGCACCTGTAAAGACAATGTTCATGGGATGTCCTTATTGACCATTCTAAGCTTGAATGAAGCGGAATGTTTTATTTAAACTGACACAAAACATTTGTGCTTTGCCAACATCTTCTTAGCTCTACGTAGGTCTTTCCCCATCCTGTTAGTAATGGAAACCATCCCATTGCAAGGAAGATTATTTTAGGAAAAGTATATTTTAAATCAGTTGTATAACAGCTTTTGGGGTTATTGGAAGGTCCCATTATGTAGTCTTTGAAACTTTTAAGACCACTAGCAGTTGTATTTTTTACAAGCAGTTATAGTGATACTGGCATTTCTCCTTTTTTCCGCACCTTTAGAATGGAATTGTCAACTTTTAACAGTTATAGTAATTATCAAGTTGACGCCTTTTGCTTGGAAAGTTTTGTGGCCACAGAAATATAGAAGCTTCAATTTACCATTGTAAAGTGGAGTTTATATTTCTATAGAATTTTATGTTAATGTGTAGAAACATCAAGCATTTTCCTCCTTAAAATTATAAGGGGCTCTTTTGCTGCATATAGAAGTTGACTTTTTTTTTCTAGCTAATATTTCTCGTTCAAGATTTGCCCCATTTTCTCTTTTTGGCAGCGGTCTAGAGATCACTTTAAACTCCATCTGTAATTGTTGATTTTGAGTTCACATGAGCAGGAGGCTACTGCCCCTCCCGGTCTCTGCTGCTGCTAATGGTAATGTGGTCTGTCCAACATGGGCAACGCTCCGTTGTTAAGGAATGTAATTCGATGACTAGAATCACTGTGAAATAGCATTTAGCTACAAGATATATATTCTAATAAAAGACCATATTCATCTACCAATAAATAATAAGCTTAAGTGTTATCTGCTTGCTTCAGAGTCTTAAGTATTGTAATATTAGTTATATAGAAATAAGCTTAAATTCTAATTGTTTACGCATCTTGGGCATGAGCATGGAGTGATGTGATCAAGTATATTAGAGTTCTAATTTTATCAACTGCACCAAACTAGCTGTATAGAAAATACTGTATAAAACTTACTGAGATATGTTTTAAGTGACGAATTGTTTAAAAAAAAAAGGCTGTAAGAAATGTAGAAAACTGATATTATACAACTTCCTATTAGTATGGTGAGCTGGGAACTTGTCTGATACTGACTTTCAGTCATTGATAGTTGGCTCAAAGTATAAAATTAGTGTAATGCCACTATAGATTAGTGTTGCTGAAAACGCTCTCCATTTCACATTTCTGTATTTGTTAAAATTCTGCTCTAAATCTGTATTAGTCAAAGTTTTACCGTATTAGGGAAAATGCGGATTTTAAGCCTCAGAAATATTATTTATTGCCAAGTTGTTCATACCATTTCAGTTGATAAGTTGGTAACCCTCAAATCAGGAAATCCGACAAGGGCTATTCTGTTCTCATTAAGCAGTTCTGGTTACTCCATCTCAGTAAGAGGTAGTCTGGGTGGTCAAGCTGATGGCGCGTTTTGAAATATTTCGCTTATAACCAAAATGAGAGAGAGACAATGTTTTGGAACAAATGGCATTATTAGCATTTTTTCTAATGCAAATTTAGACAGATATCATTTAAAGCAAATGCCTTAGCATTTGTTCATATAGAATAAGATTAGGGAACTTCATTGAAAAAAAAAAGAACTTTTATAAAATGTTAGTTGAAATACTGTTGTGAAACTCTAGGGGGGAAGTTCCATATGAAATCATTATCATCTGCATTCAATAAAATGTACTTTGAGTGGATACACAGAAGCTTACTATTTCCTTCTGCTTTATCCAAATAACCAGTGATGAGACATTTTGATCCAGTTATTATGGTTTCAAAAATAATTTAAAAACTAGATTTTATGAAGTATATTCTTTGTAGTTATTCATATTTTTATAAGTAGGAGATCTGTTTACATATGTGGTGTACAAAGTACCAAGATTCATCTGCCTCCTCTTTAGGGGCTGCCACTTTAATGACAAGGAGATAAGAAACTCTTTAGACTGTACTTGCTGGGCTTTTGTTACTGTCCCTCCTATATGAACAGATGATGCCCAGGGGAGGGTGAAAATGCCTTTGAGCCAGCTGTCAGTGCGGCATCCCCAGAGGTGGTCCTCTGAAGGAGTCAGGCTCACACGCAGGGGCACGTCTGGTGCCCTGTCCCCTGGCTACTCCCTGCAGCTGCTGAATTCCAAAGCGCTGCTTTTTCTGAAGCTACCAAGTACTAGGGAAGCTCTTTCCGTAATATATATTTATTGCATACTGTTTGAACTGGGGATTTTGGGGGAAAAGGAATCAAAAATTAGGGGAAGGAAGTTCCTTCCTCCAGAAGCTTTCATTGTACTTAGAAAATGAGACATATACATGAAAAATTGAGATAAAGTTATATTTAAATAAGAGATTTAGGCTATTGTAATGGGAATTTATTGACTTGGAATAATTAAGACAGATTTACTAAAGCTCCACCTAGAAAAATTGATAAAGCTTTTTCTGTATCCTAGTTTTTCTTTTAACTGTCAAATTTAAATTGTAAGCTTATTGTAAAAGAGTTGTGCTAAATTGTTTTATTAAACACCTACGTTATTTAATCCCCACAACAACCCGATAAAATAGACATTGTTGTCACTCCTATTTTAGAGCTAGAGAAACTGTGACTGAGAGAATTTAAGTCACTTACCCAGAGTTGCACAGCTGCTGAGGGGCTGTCGAGGTGGAACTTAAAGCTTCCTCTTGACCAAATGGTTTGCTGTACTGTTTCCCCCATGGACGTGTTCTTTATTGTCCCAAGCTGCCAGTATTTGCTGTTTTACTCTGGAATCTGGTCATCTTATAAAGTGAGCTTATTCTCTGATTTTAACCAGATCAGAAATTCTTTAGTTGTAGGGTTCCGCTTGGAGACTTTTAGTGATTAACTAGAGAAAAAAGTTGTCAGTTTTTAAAAGCTCATTTAATTTTGACCACATATTAAAATGAAACTGCAAAAATTGTTGGAGAGCTTGGGATATCAAAAGACTGAACAGAGAAATAACTGCCCTCTTAGTTAAAAGGTAATAATTTCCTATCCCAATGGTTAATGTTGATTTGCAGCAGTCTTTTTTTTTTTTTGGTAACTTAGAATCAGCATAAAAAGTACTTTGTCTCTCTCTTTTTTTTTTTAGCTACCTTTAAAAATAATCATCAATCATTATATGTATGTGGTGAATTGTGGCTTTTTTAAAGAATGATGGCATTCTTTATATATACTTGTATATATACAAATGTATATATTTATAGTTGTGTTTTTTAATACTCATTGACTTCTGAAAGGATTTAAGCTGTTTGGTTGATGAATGATTCTCTCTTTGTCTATTTTCCAAGCTTTTTAATATACTTCCAAATTAAAAGAATAATTTAAAAAAAGTGATTGGTTTTGTCTGAAAAAATCAGATGTACAGTCTTGTTTTGTCTGACTAGTAATGTGGATTTTTAAAAGTAATGGTAATTGTTCTAAATTAGTTTCTTTCAAAATTAGACATTCTCTGTCAACTGTTTTATATAATCTGGAATTGCATGCTTGCACATATACCCAAACTGACAGTCATTATTTTTACTTTATAGGAGCCATCTAGAACAGTTTCAGGCAGATACAAAAGGTAAGTGTTCTTCAGTTGTGACAGCATGTTGTAGACATGAGTGTAATGTCTGTCTGAACATGGCTTAACTAACTAGAACTGTTTCAAGCAGCTTTTTGAAAGATAGGAAACCTCAGTATTGTGCTCCTAAAAAGAAATTACGTTGTAAGCAGGAGTGTACTATCTGTCTGACCATGACTTATTTTGACATATCCTGCAGTCTTTGAAAACTGCACACACCATGAATTTGCATGGGCCTGATGAACTTAGCAGAATAGAAACTTAGAATCTTTTTCACTTATGTACTTAAACATTGAAAATTCAAGTATATCACCTGTGTTTGGGCTGCCATAACAAAATATTGTAGACAGGATGGTTTAAACAGAATTTTATTTTCTTGCAGTTTAGGAGGCTGCAAAGTCTAAGATCAAGGTGCCAGCATGGTCAGGTTCTGATGAGAGTTCCTTCCAGACTTTCTGACAGCTGCCTTCTTGCTGTGTCCTCAAATGGTGGAGAGAGAGAGGGTGGTTTCTCAGGTGTCTTTTTTGATCAAGGCACTAATCCTGTCATGAGAGCCCCAACCTCACGACCTGCTCAAAACCCAGTTCCCTCCCACAGGCGCCACTTCCTAATGTACCATCACATTGGGAGTTACGGCTTCAGCGTGTGAATTGTGGGAGACATAGTTTAGTCCTGTCTCAGTCTGTTCAGGCTGCTATAACAAACTGCCACAGACTGAGGAACTTGCAGACAACAAAAATGTATTTCTCACAGCTCTGGAGGCTGGAAGTCAGAGAGCAGAGTGCCAGTATAGTCAGCTTCTGGTGGAGTCCCTCTTCTGGGTGGTAGAATGACACCTCCTTACTGTGTCCTCACATAGTGGGAGGGGCTGGGGAGCTCTGTGGGGTCTCTTTTATAAGAGTGCGGTTCCATTCATGAAGACGCCACCTTGATGCCCTTAGCACCTCCGGAAGCCCCACCTCCTCGTACCATCACTTTGGGTGTTAGGATTTCAAAATACGAATTTTCGTGGGGCACAAACATTCAGACCATACCACCACCTCTACACGGGTGACGCTTTTACCAGAAAATGTGTTTGAGTGTCTGTGCACACCTAGTAAGAAAATCAGAATTAGGTATAAGAAGTTGTTTAATGGAGATACCTGGGATATTAGCTTTCTTCTTCCCTGTTGAAGCCGTAAAAGTTTCAGAAGATGTGGTCATATTTGTGCTAATAGAGAATAATGGTAAATCTTACCAAGTGTTTGTAATGACCAGGCTGCTTTACATAGAGATCTCATTTAATTCTCACAGTTGTCTTATAGGGTAGGTACAGTGAGTACAATATTTACTTTCATTTCATAGATGAGCAAAGTGGGGTTAAAGAGGAAGAAGAATTTCCCTGGGTTACAGAGCAGGTCAACAGCAGAATCTAGGTTTGGACTCAGGCAGCCTGACTCCAGAACCTACAGGCTTTCACAAGACCATCGGCCTAGATTCGTACATAGAAAATCTTTTGTTTTCATCTATTTGTATGTTATAAAGCTTAAAATATTTGGTTAAAAGTTTTGGTTATTATAGTCTATCTAAAATAAAACATTAAGAGCAGCTCCAATTTTAATACTAAATTATATATAAATAAAATTCAATTTTTAATTTTTACCATGGGCCATAATATCTATTAGTGGTTGAAAGAGATAAGGAGGCCAAGATAATCAACAATTGAATAAAGAAGTCTGAAACCATTTCTGGTGAACACTCAATGTGTTCGCTACTACTTTTATTTTCATTTCTGAGTAATTTTGATTCAGGTATAATGAATCCTGTGATTCTTTTAAGCTTGTAACAGTTGTACATTGCTTGGTAATTATTTTCTTAACATGAATAGTTTAAACTAGGAAGAATTTTCTTTGTTTTGCCAGAAATCGTTGCCAATCAAATAGCTTTGATTTGTTCTATTTCCAGGCCACATTCTCAAACCAAAAAAGTTTTTATCATCGGGTCTTGGTTTGGGGAATAAAGATAAATTTCAGTGACTTATCAAGTTTTTGTTGTATCGATCATATGTATTTAGTTCTTATTAAATAATAAACCTTAAATTATGACTGGCACTTTTCAGATTTGTATTCTTTAACCAGAATCCAGAGGGGAATAATTTTCTTATGAATCCTGATCAGAAGCTTTATTTGCATATCATTGTGTTAAATCAGAGAGAAAATTGGTCTCCTCTGGTTTTTGTTTTAAAGCTTGTTAGACCATTGTTTTACTTGTGATCTGTTCATATACTTGTACTTTGTTTATTTTCATAGCCTAGAGCATGTGGTTTGTTACTCTTCAGCTTTCAAAGGTTTGGCCCTGTTTAATACTGTTATAAAAAAAATTCTTTTTAAGTTCCTAGTCATTATTCACTGACTCACAACTCATAGTTTGAATACTATCTGAAAGGAAGAAAAAGAACACTAAAAAAAAAAAGAGAGAATCTGTATCTGAAATTATCATTCCTTATCTAGAAGAATTTGTTCTCTTGTACATCATTCTTTCATTAACCTGTTCATTACTTTCATTAACCTGTCAGCAAGTTGTAGCAGTGACTAGAAAATGAATGATTCGTGGTGAGGGTGTCTGCTGACTAATGGGGATGGAGAAGAGGAGGAATGGGCTAAAGGATAGAAATTTGACATCACATTAGAAAATATTTTAAGTAAACCAAATAACTTGTATTTACAGCCAGACAAACTCTTAAAAAGTCACTAGAGGATATAAGCACCCACAAGACTAGTTTGTATGTGTGCTCTTATAAGTTAGGAATTAAATATGTAATTTTTTCTTACACATATCAAGAATGTTCTTTTTGAGCATTGAGGCTGTTAAACACTCACGAGCTGTGCTCTATTTTATTGACTTGACTCTTGTTTAGAACATCTCATATATTCATTGATTTCCTTTTTAAATCTATTTAAATAACTTTAGAGATCTGTTTGGAGGTGGGGCTCAGGAAGTTTCTGAAACTCTAGGTGTAGGAAAGAAGGATCATTGTCATATATTTGTGGGGTTTTTTTCAATGTGTAATTTTCTTCATAGAATGTTTACTTTATAGTGCATTGATTAAAATTTTTTAAAAAGCAAGACAGATTGTTAGATTTGTGTCTGTAGATACCATACTTGATATGATTTCTAAATAAAACCATAAACTTAAAAAAAACAGAAAGCAAGACAGTGCTGAATGACTTGCAAAGGGCGAGATTAACCAGGATGTGTAATTGACCACTCTTATTGCAGTGTGTAATTCAACCATCAGGAATGGCACCGATTAAAAAACATAGAAAGCTAGTTAAGACAAATATTAAGTTTTATCATTCTCACATAGAAAGTAACTGGTTCTTTTGTTTTTACAAATATATTTAATACAGTTTTATTTATTTTATTAAGTAACATATGGAAGTCCTAAGTGCTTCTAAGTCATTCTTCCCTCCAGTAGCATTAATAAGTTACATTTATATCGCTTTTAATGGTGCACAAACCACCTTCGCATGCATTACCTACCAACAGCCCCATTAGGCAGCTATGCAGGCACCTCCTTTCCAAAATGATGAATAAGGCTTTGGTGCCACATTCCTTCTGAGCAGAAATCAGTTAAGAGAGGAAATGTTACAAGTATTTGTTTTTATAAAGAGCATGGACACATCAGGATATGAATGTTAGAAAGAATTAACATCTTAGCTAAAATGTAGGTGCAAAATCTTATTTCACATCTGTAATGTTTCATGTTGTTATTGTACTTCTGTAACTAGAATTCATGTAGCTTTATCAAGACCTTTCTGCCCTTAAAATTTTTTGCAGTTACTGAAAAATGATTAGGGTAGAATTTTTATACAACTTAAAAATTATTTTCTTTATTTTAAAATCAATCCTCGCGATTGAAGATTTGGATTAGAAAAACCCACTCATAATCCTACCAACCAAGTCAATCACTGTTAACATTATTTTTATGCTTTACTTCCACCTTATTTTTCTAGGCTTTTTATTGTGTAGCTGTGAGCATAATGGATGTACGTGTTCCCATTCTGATTTTCTCCTTAGTTAATGTGATACAGGTATCTTCAACTTTTGTGTTAAGTTGTGTAAAGAATGGTTGGTATGAACTAAGCGATCTCTGCTTTTCTCCTTTTCAGTGAAGTATAGCATAAGTATACCAGGGACCCTCACTATAACTGCTTTGGGGATCAGTAATTTCTGCATTCTTTATTTGGATAGATGTGACTATGATTCCTTTCCTTAAGGGCCAACATGCTCTTCCAAAGTCAGTTCTGCTGTAACACGTGTTTTGAAAACTTGAATTTGTCCCAATTGATAGATTAGGGAAGAGTTTGACCATAAACACAAATTTTGCGTTTGCTTATGCCCAGTTTTGTTCATGAGAAACATTGGCTAAACACTGAAAACTATACCCGGCTCAACGAGACACGGAGGAATACACGAAACGCACACCTCAAATATTTACCAGCTTTCCTCAGTATGAGCCACAGCCTTCCACATGTGGTCTCTGGTTTCAGATAACCCTCCTTTTGACACTTCACTTATTGTGGGGAAAAAAGAGAAGGGTCACTTTTAAAAGATACCCTATCTTGAATGATCTCAAATCTGTTGTTTTTGCACTAATATGCAGAAAAGTTCAACCCTTTAGTTGTCATTTGATTCTTAAGCTCTTTCATAGGAAATTGAATAGAACCTGTTTAAGTTTGAAAAGTAATTTATTTAGAAACAGAATTTTCGTGCAGATTTAAGATGTTGTAACACAACTAACTTTTTTCTGAATGAACTTTCTTTATAACCATTGTTTTAAAACCAGTAGTTCTTGTTTGATTGCATATGTGTTTTGAGAACCACAAGAAACTTCCTTGGTTTTTTGGTCAGGAGTCAAACCAAAAAAGTCAGCCAAATTCTTTAAGGATAAGAATTCTAGACTGTAGCATACCGAATGTATCTCCCAGTAGTTGAAGAGAAACCACTCTTGGGCTATA